GCCATTCCCCCCTCGGCTAAGGCTCCTTCTCGGCCCTTTCGGCCGCGGTCAGACCCTTCTAGCCGGAGCTTGTTCACAGGCTATGCGCGCGTTCGCTCTCATTGCAAAGATTCACCCGTCCCGCCCCTGATCATCTGTCTCGCAGCTTACATATATATACATATCTGATTGAGAACCAGAAAAAAAAAGGAAAACTCTGGATCCAAGGCAGCTCATTGCCTTTCTTCCATCAATTTCTATCAGTGTGACGGTGTAAAAGGGCTCACTGTGAGGTAAGTTTCTATAGCAGTCGTCCAACTTTGGTAGTCTCTGAGATGTCGTTTGAAGCCTTTCTCCAGAGTTCCCGTAATCTTTTGTAGTATTAGTAGTAACAGCAGCAGCAGTAGCAGCAGTAGCAGCAGCAGCAGTAGCAGCAGCAGCAGCAGCAGCAGCAGTAGTAGTAGTAGTAGTAGTAGTAGTAGTAGTAGTAGTAGGAATAATAACAATATTTTTTTTAAAGTAACAATTTACCTCAAAGAATATCTTGTTCTCATATTAAGTTTGTTTTAAAATTATTGTTCATGGTTCCTAAGATCGGTGGAAATCCGGGATAAAAGAATAAAAATAATAATAATAAAAAAACAAACTGCGGTCACAAACTTGAACATAACAAAACAAGTACTAAAATATTGCTAGTTCCTTATCGATTTCAAAGGTCCTACGAATCCTAAATGTGAAGAGTATTAAAAGTTCTCATCCTAAAATCTTGCTAGTTGCCTACCGATTCCAAAGCCCCTACTAATCCCAAATGTGAAGAATATTAAGCTTTCTAATCCTAAAATCTCGCTAGTTCCTTATCGATTTCAAAGTCGTTATCTGCAATGTTTAGCCGAGCTCTTCGCGTACAGCGTGAGCCTCTCAAGCATAGCAGCGCAGACCTCAAGAGGGCGAATGAGACTTGGGCGCGAATCCATGACATTGTAGCACTATAGAGGGTGTCAAAGGTGGGGTACCAATCACGCATCACGCTCAATTTTTCTATTAAATCACGCATCACGGAGAATTTTTTTCACCAATCACGCGTCACGTAAAAAGAAGTAAGTACATCGCCAATTTTACTTTCTTGACCCTAAAAGCGTCGTTAAAAGAAGAACTCTGCCGATTCAACCACAAAAATGCATCGCTGGGCAATTATGTGACCTCTCACGCGAAAACGTTCCTTACGGTATCCGTTCGAACGGCTGAACGCACGGCGAGTGACGGATAATTTGAATAACGATAGTCAATTTCTCACTTGTTCCAAGATATCTTAAGACTACTTGGTTCTACATGAGTTGATAACCACGTATACCTACACAGCCTACATCACATTTATCTAGGTATATGTAGGCATATGTGAGGGATTAATAAGATGTAGGCTGGGTAGGTATATGTAGGGGATTAATGAAATGTATGATGTGTTGGTATATGTGGAAGATTATTGAGATGTAGGATGCGTAGGTTTATGTAGGGAATTAATGATATGTATGGTGTGTAGGTATATTTGAGGGATTAATGAAATGTAAGCTGTGTAGGTTTATGTGGGGGATTAATGATATGTATGGTTGTATGGTGTGTAGGTATATGTGGAAGATTAATGAGATGTAGGCTGTGTAGGTATATGTGGGAGATTAATAAAAAGTGAGTTGTGTAGGTTTATGTAGGGGATTAATCTCATTTATCCCCCACTTATACCTACAGAGCAATACAGCTCATTAATCCCCTACACATACCTACACAGCCTACATCACATTTATCCCCCACACATACCTACACAGCTTACAGCTTGTTAATACCCTACATATACCCACACAGCCTACATCTCATTTATCTCATCGCTGGGCAATTATGTGACCTCTCACGCGAAAACGTTCCTTACGGTATCCGTTCGAACGGCTGAACGCACGGCGAGTGACGGATAATTTGAATAACGATAGTCAATTTCTCACTTGTTCCAAGATATCTTAAGACTACTTGGTTCTACATGAGTTGATAACCACTGAGTATAATGAGTAATGACTCTAGAAACGATTTAATGAAAGGTAAATGAAGGTAAATGTGAGGGATTCACGAGGTGTAGGCTCTAAAGGTATATGTTGGAAATTAATACGATGAAAGCTGTGTAGGTATATGTGGGATGAAAGCTGTGTAGGTATATGTGGGGGATAAATGAGATGTAG